ATATCTGGCTATCCGAAGTGCACACAAGTCACCACAGATGCAGGCTCGGTACACATCCGGGTATTTGACTGTACTTGGCTAGATACGGACTTTTGAATTGGAACAGTCCTGCAACTTATGACGTTTCACAAGTCCACAAGAACACAAGTACAGACAAGAATGCAGATTGAGAAACAGATCCCGTTCCCGAGTGTTTTGCCTGTCTGGTTTTGCTGACTTGTTCAGATTTTGTAGTAAGTAGCCTATGTGGTTCAATTGTTTATTTTTTAGGCTGTTTAACTTGTTTATTGTTGATAAACGACTGGGAGTCTGCAATGGGTGTTTTATTTTGAAAATCGACCGGATTCTCTATGTCGTTCTGTGTCTGACTTCCTGCCTTGTTCATCTGCTCTGTGCTGCTTGACCTTTGCTTCCGTCAAAAATAGACTGGCAGTGAATATTGAACTTTGTGACTTTGGTAACAGGAAAAGGTATTATTTTGAATAATGTTCATGCATTTGATATTTATATATATATATATATATATATACACTCTTGAACAAAATCTTAAGACCGGGGGAAACATTGCAAGTACTCGCATTTCGCGCTGGTTGATCAGCTGATGAACAGCCTGTTTGAGTTTAAATGCAGTTTTCAATTAATAGCCTACTCTCTATTTTTGTCTCTTGCTCCTGTTTCTTCTTTTGGCATTTTGAAGCAGTACTTACAACCCGGTTATGATCCACCAGCGCGAAATGTAGTGAGTACTTGCAATGTTTCCCCCGGTCTTAAGATTTTGTTCAAGAGAGTATATATATATATACACACACACACACTGTATATAAAATGTTGATGTAAAAAAAAAGCTGCACCTTATTTTTGGATATTAAGTGGATCATCAACTGGTGGCCATGCTGGCTTTTTAGCTGATAATGTAGCTTTAGTCTCAGTGTTTTTACATAATATCAAATCAAAACATCAAATGCATATTTTGACAGGGTTCTAGTTTTAAAGCGAATCAGCTGGAAACAAAGGAGTTTTCAGCAAACTCACAGAGTTAACATCTTGGCCATCTGGCAATTCTGGCTAATGCCAGAGGGGCATCCGGTCAGATTTTTAAAAAGCCACTTTGTTCACTGTTGCGATCTCCAAAACGCATATCTATCTCTCCTTGCACAGCATCTATAAGGCTGTAAAATAATCTCATGGACTTTTCCTCTGAGTCGCTCTGTGACTGTCCTAGTTTCTTCAACTACAAATGCACAAAGGTTCTTGTTAACAGTGCGTCTCCTCTTGCTTGGACAGTCAGTGACCTGACACAGGCCCAGCCTCGATGTTGGCCTGTAGTACTCAGTTTGGCGCCGTGATAAAACCTTCTAAACAAGATATGCAATCAAAAGAAAGCTGCGCTGCGATATCACACAAAGTAGGCCAGTAGCCTCAACCAGCACGTCGGCTCCATGACCCTATGTGTTCTCCACCACCTTGTTCAACAATGTGTATATGTCGTGGAAACGCGTCACCACAACATTGACTGTTGCCAAATTCCCAGTCCAACTCTGGTGTAAGAGGCATTTCAGGGTCTCGTCCATTGTATTATCAAAAAATTAAGTTTGTGGTTAAAGCAGTGAATGTAGGGTATTTGATGATGTAGTTTATTTTAAGGCAATCTCTGCACACCACGTCTCCCAGACAGTAGTGACGCAACATCTTAAACCTGACTAGCTGAGCCCAGCTTTTGTGAGTTCATTCAGCAACATTCAGACTAGATAAGCGGTTATAGATGATGCATGGCTGTTATATACAGTCGCAGGAAGAAGTACACTCACCTAAAGGATTATTAGGAACACCATACTAATACTGTGCTTGACCCCCTTTCGCCTTCAGAACTGCCTTAATTCTACGTGGCATTGATTCAACAAGGTGCTGAAAGCATTCTTTAGAAATGTTGGCCCATATTGATAGGATAGCATCTTGCAATTGATGGAGATTTGTGGGATGCACATCCAGGGCACGAAGCTCCCGTTCCACCACATCCCAAAGATGCTCTATTGGGTTGAGATCTGGTGACTGTGGGGGCCATTTTAGTACAGTGAACTCATGTTCAAGAAACCAGTTTGAAATGATTCGAGCTTTGTGACATGGTGCATTGTCCTGCTGGAAGTAGCCATCAGAGGATGGGTACATGGTGGCCATAAAGGGATGGACATGGTCAGAAACAATGCTCAGGTAGGCTGTGGCATTTAAACGATGCCCAATTGGCACTAAGGGGCCTCAAGTGTGCCAAGAAAACATCCCCCACACCATTACACCACCACCAGCAGCCTGCACAGTGGTAACAAGGCATGATGGATCCATGTTCTCATTCTGTTTACGCCAAATTCTGACTACCATCTGAATGTCTCAACAGAAATCGAGACTCATCAGACCAGGCAACATTTTTCCAGTCTTCAACTGTCCAATTTTGGTGAGCTCTTGCAAATTGTAGCCTCTTTTGCCCATTTGTAGTGGAGATGAGTGGTACCCGGTGGGGTCTTCTGCTGTTGTAGCCCATCCGCCTCAAGGTTGTGCGTGTTGTGGCTTCACAAATGCTTTGCTGCATACCTCGGTTGTAACGAGTGGTTATTTCAGTCAAAGTTGCTCTTCTATCAGCTTGAATCAGTCGGCCCATTCTCCTCTGACCTCTAGCACCAACAAGGCATTTTCACCCACAAGACTGCCGCATACTGGATGTTTTTCCCTTTTCACACCATTCTTTGTAAACCCTAGAAATGGTTGTGCGTGAAAATCCCAGTAACTGAGCAGATTGTGAAATACTCAGACCGGCCCGTCTGGCACCAACAACCATGCCACGCTCAAAATTGCTTAAATCACCTTTCTTTCCCATTCTGACATTCAGTTTGGAGTTCAGGAGATTGTCTTGACCAGGACCACACCCCTAAATGCATTGAAGCAACTGCCATGTGATTGGTTGATTAGATAATTGCATAAATGAGAAATTGAACCTGTGTTCCTAATAATCCTTTAGGTGAGTGTATGTGAACCCTTTGAAATTACCTCAGTTTCTGCATAAATTGGTCACTTGATCTTCATTTTCAATAGACAAACAAAATCTGCTTATACCACACAAATTATATGTTTTCATGTTTTTATTGAACATACAATGTAAAGTCTTGGATTTAATAACTTGTTGACCCTCTTTTGGCAGCAATAACCCCAACCAAACATTTACTGCAGTTGCATATCAGACCTGAACAACCGTCAGGAGGAATTTTGGCCCATTTACAAAACTGTTTCAGTTTAGCAATGTTCTTGGGATGTTTGGTGGGAATCGTTCTCTTGAGCTCATGCCACAGCATCTCAGTTGGGTTGAGGTCAGGACTCTGACTGGGGCACTCCAGAAGGTATATTTTCTTCTGCTGAAGCCATTTTGTTGTTGATTTACTTTTGTGCTTTGGTCGTTGTGCTTCTCCGTCACGCATCTCCTGTTGAGCTTCAATTTGCGGACAGATGGCCTTACATTCTCCTGCAAAGGTTCTTGATAAACTTTAGAATTAATATTTAATAGCAACCCTTCCAGGCCCTGAGGCAGCGAAGCAGCCCTAAACCACGATTCCCCCTCCACCATAAGTTACGGTTGAGGTTAGGTTTTGATGTTGGTGTGCTGTGCTTTTTAGCCAGTAGTGCTGTGTCAACATCCATGTGCTCTTTTGCAAACTACAGACTTGCGCAATAGGTTTTTTTGTACAGTAATGGCTTCCTCTGTGGAGTCCTCGCATGAGCTCCCTTCTCGTTTAGTGTTTTACGTATAGTAGAGTCATTAACATAGATGTTAGCATGTTCCTGAGATTTCTGTAAGTCTTCAGTTGACACGCTAGGATCCTTAACTACACTGTGCATTCTGCGCTGTGCTTGAGCAGTCAACTTTGCTGGACAGCCACTCAAAGGAAGATTAGCTACAGCGTTGAACCATTTGTTGACAATTTGTCCATGGACAGATGAACATCAAGCCTTTTAGAGATACCCTTTCCAGCTTCATGCAAGTCAACAATTCTTAATCTTAGGTCTTCTGAGAGCTCTTTTGTTCGAGGCATGGTTCACATCAGGCAATTCTTGATGAGAATAGCAAAATTAAAATAACATTTTATTATTATTATTATCTATCACATCACACAGGTATTTTGGGATTTTTTGTCCATGTTTTCAGATATTTGTCTCTCAGATTTCTGCCTCCACCTTTAATACAAATAAGGTTAATTCAACTGTGACATTTCATTCTAAATTCAGTGCCCAATAAAGAGGGGGTGAACTGATAATCCACAAAATTAACGGTATACATTTTCTATGTAAATATTTTAAAACAGCCCCTATGAAAGCTCCACAATGTGGCCTGTGGAAATGACATTATTGATAATATTGGGGTAGAGGTATAAATCTCTGAGACCAATATGTGAAAACCTGAACAAATAAAACAGAATATATTGGTAATTTTTGGACAAAAGATGTACGGTATCTGTGAGGTTGCCATGCATAAGTGCTACAGCCTGTTTTCTGGGACACTATTGGACTATACACACAATACTCTTACTCTGATGAAGGCCTGTTCAAATAAGATTGGTCAGAGATTGAATTATAAATCAATGTTATTGTAATTTTTGCAATATATTAGGTAAGAAATGCATATTTGTCATTATTGGGGAAAAGATATATCTACAGTACTTGACAATGTGAGAATGAGTACTGCAGCTTGTTCTCTGTGCCACTCATGGACTATCCACTCAACAAGCAGAAGAAAATACTGTTACTCTGATGAATGCCTGCTCCAACAAATTTTTTTTAAAGAAAGACTTTTGCAATATATTTATAAGAAATGCATAAAAATTAAGAAATTTATTGTTGAACATCATTAAAACACCTGATCCTCTATGCTTGACACTCTCATATATAGTAAGACACTGAATTATTTATCAGCAATGACACTTTCAGATTTCTGTGTTTCAGACCATAAAAAGCTTCAAAAGTAACTTTTATGTGAGATTAAAATACATACGTGTGTTGAAGATTATGATATACATTTTGTGATTGCACAAATGGACATAACTACAAAAAACACACAAACACTAGATAACAATGTACTAGTCTAGAGACGTTTACCACACAAAAACTGTATAATTCTATTTCTTATTTGTGTCAGTTTGAAACCATATATGAGGGGATTGATAATTGGAGGGAAAAAAAGAAATTCTATTGCCATAAAATTCTGGGCACTTTGTGGTAACGTTTCTGAGCCAGATCGCATGTACAACAAATCAAAAAGAATACACACACTTAAAGTAAGTAAACAGAACAAATGTGGAAGACATGTCTGCATAAACTTTGTCCTGTTCTCTTTGGATGTTAGGCATGTTGAGATCAGATATACATAAGACCAAAAAATAAAAATAAAATGGCAAAAATAAAAAATGTAATTAAAAGCTGGAATGACAGTGTTTGTTATGGAGACAGTACAAGCTAGTTTACCAATGAAATAATTAACACAGTAGATCTTTGGGATGTGTGAGCCGCATAACCTTGATGTAGATGTTGTTACTGTGCTCATGAACATCAAGTAAAGGGGTAGAAACCAAGCAAAAAACACAAATACACAAACTCTTTGTTTAGACATCACAGAGTGGTAAACCAGAGGTCGACATATAGCCACATATCTGTCATAAGCCATTAGAGCTAGAAGAGAGAAATCAGCAGAAACTGAAGAGTGCAACACAAAACCCTGCAGAAGGCATCCAGCATAAGAGATGACATGAGTAGTAGATAGAAGATCATTGAGGAATTTGGGGTAAAAGCCTGTTGTCCCATAAAGTCCATTGATGCACAGATTACAGAGGAAGATGTACATGGGTTCATGAAGGCTTTTGTTCACAATGATTGTCACAATAATGGTCAAATTTAACAGCCAAATCACACTGTAACACAATAAAGTGAGAGCAAAGAGAGCAACTCTGTAGTTTGCTGTGCCATTTAACCCTGACAGAGTAAACATAGTTATTACGGTTTCATTATCAATCATATTCATAATTAAACATAATTGTATATCATTCTAAATCTGAAATAACTATTTTAATACGCTCAGTAACAGAGATCACATGAGAGGGAGACTCTCAAGATTCCTCCTTTAAAATCCATTAATACACAGATTACACAGGAAGATACATAGGCTCATGAAGTTTGTGGTGTACTATGTTGGTTATGATGGAACAAAATGTACTATCCAAATCATTAAGTAAAACAAAGTGAGAGCAAAAAGAATACATCGTCGTTGCACTGTGTAATTTAATGCTAAAAGTATAAAAAAAAGTAAGTGCAGAAACATTAAACTTTGTCAGCTGCAACAATATTGTTCCTTTAAACCTACTTTTATATCCAACGTTTCTCACCTCAGTATGTGCAAATCATAAAGTGTCACAATAGAGAAACATCTTTTACATTTGTTCCTGAGTTGTAGGTGGGGCAGCGGTCATCCTGTGCTGAGTGTCTCTGACTCTGCCAGCACTGGTTCCTCTGCTTAAATCATCTATCTCTGATGACTCAACACAAGCTGGGAATTCAAGCAGTAGAGTAGAGCAGTAGGTAACTAGGGCTGAACAATTAATCGTCTTGAAATTGAAATTGCGATTTGAAAGAATGCGATTAGGATGGATTGGCGGCCTGTCCAGGGTGTACCCCGCCTTTCGCCCAATGTCAGCTGGGATTGGCTCCAGCCCCCCTGTACCCTATACGCAGGATAAGTGGTTGACGATGGATAAATGGAAGAACGCGATTAGCTAATCGTGAAGACGGCGATTAACATGTAGGTTACTTATACAGCGCATCTGACCCGTTTTAACCAGTCATTCCATTGTCTTCCTTGTGTGACAAGCACCATGCGCCTCCTGTTCCGGTCCTACTCACCAATCAGAGCGGGCACAGGGTGTATACATTTTACAACATCAAACGAGGCATAATGGCGTCAGCCGAACTGACACAGGCAGTGGCTGTGCTGCGGTTTTGTCCGGCGTCAACTCGCACTGAAGTGTTTCAGTAGCAGAGAGTTTAGCCTGTCCCACATTGTTGACGTGTTTTTAATTTGTCATTTTGTGTCCTTCAACTTTGGATAACAGCTCTCCTTGAGCCCGTCTGTTTCTCAATACAGAGTTTGCCAAGTTCTGACTTCTGTACTTTAAAGCTCGGACTTGGCAGGTTCGGCTCATGAGTACAAACTCCCAGGAACGGGAGCACGCAGGCAGTCATTCAGCAATTGGAAGCAGCGGCCTTCATGACAGCCGGACCCTTTAGCGGGCGGGACCTCACATCTCTGAAAAGTCATAGCCATTTTTTTAATCAGCTCTGTCTTGAGAAATCAACCATACATTTGGAGTTTAAACAACTATATACCCACATAACTATTTTAGCTAGCTCAAGTCATTTTCATGCAATTCAGTTACTTCAGCTAGTTAGCTGTTTTTTGACAGTAGCCTACATTGTCTTAAAAACTAAGCTTAAACTAAGTAGCGTAAAACCGCTGTATATTTTAAAATGTTATTGCTTCATGATAATTGTTAACAAGTGTTAGTTAGCCTGATCCTGAAAGCAGCTAAGTTGAGATTTAGGGTAAACACACTGCTGTAGGCTCCTTGCAATATAGTCTCACAGACCAAAAACCTATCGCAATATCCATGTGCTACTGTAGACATTTGTAGGGAACTTTACTTTGAAAACGAGCAACTATCCATAATTAAAATAAAACATTAAATATTGAATACACAGGCTACAGTAATGTAATTAATCCTTAGGTAGGGTGAAACATAGGTCTCTATTACAGCCACTCATACATAGGTGTCATTTACACTGGGGACGCTGGGGACATGTCCCCACCACTTTTTTAAAGTATAATTTGTAACAAAAAACATTCTGAAATATAGCTTGTATCTAAATAAAAAATTAAAATACCTTTACAAAGGTTCGTTTGCACATTAAGAAAACATGCAATGCAATTAAAATATAGCTTGTTTACAACTTGTCTGATTATCTGACCTATGGACTGTATATTAATTGCGTGGCCTACTCAGACACTTTTGGCATGAGACACCCACTTTCAGGCTTAGTCTCACACTCTCACGCTGCCAAATCGCACAGCAACTAAAGGCTTGTGCAGACTACACGATTTTCAGCGTCGGCCGCTGGACCGACACTGCACACTACACAACTTGCCGTCTTGTGACAGGAGTCTTGAAGCCGTTGTGGAGTTCACACTACGTGACTAATTGGTGACAGGGGGTCACACACTACACAAGCTGACAGCGACTCTGTCACCCGACACTGGTCTCCAAACCACGTTTTGTCAAGAAAACACACGTGAAATGTGAAATGACACGAACCTACACACCAAACAGCTGTTGTTTGTTATAATAAAGATACCAATTATAAAGACAAAAAATCTGTGTGAAAGAATGGATTAGCACATGCATGTAGCAGGGACTGTGTGTGCTACAGAGAGAGCTGAGGGGAGTAAAAAGTGTTTTGCGGTGAAAAAGTAGCTGCCTGCTCTAATTGGCTGGATATGGATGTTGAGTCGGTCAACTCCGCCAGATATTTGGCGTGCTAGATATCTGGCAGACGTCGCCGATGTGTCAGAAATGTGTCATGCATCACTGAGTAGTTCACACAACCACTGGCGACCGCCGATAAACCGCTGAATCGGGCTAAAACTTGTGTAGTGTAAACTAGGCCTACGAAACCACAAAGCCACTCCTTGATGAATGATGAAGAGCCGTCGTCAGGGCTCATTTTTAGGACACGAATATGAACCATGTAAGGCAAGGCAAGGCAAGTTTATTTGTATAGCACATTTTTTACAGTCCCGATATTTATACCAGCTAGAGGAAAATTAAAAAATGTTTGCACCAAACATTCAGACTACCTGAGCGGTTATAGATGATGCATGGCTGTTATCTACACAGTCACAGGAAGAAGTATGTGAACCCTTTGAAATTACCTCGATTTCTGCATAAATTGGTCATTTGATCTTCATTTTCAATAGACAAACAAAATCTGCTTATACCACACAAATTATATGTTTTCATGTTTTTATTGAACATACAATGTAAACTCTTGGATTTAATAACTTGTTGACCCTCTTTTGGCAGCAATAACCCCAACCAAGTTGCAGTAGCAGATCAGACATGAAATAGCGGTCAGGAGGAAATTAGGCGCATTTACAAAACTGTTTCAGTTCAGCAATGTTCTTGGGATGTCTGGTGGGAATCGCTCTCTTGAGCTCATGCCACAGCCTCTCAGTATGGTTGAGGTCAGGACTCTGACTAGGGCACTGCAGAAGGTATATTTTCTTCTGCTGAAGCAGGGACGTGCACAGGGGGGTTGCTCTGGTTGCTCGGGCAACTGCCCGTTTACCTTTCCTGACTCAAGTTGCCCTTCCGACTCGCCCTTCCGAGAAAAAAAAATAAAATAAAAAAATAATCGCGATCGCAAAGCCTCATTCACTTCCATTCGGGCACCGAAAGTGAAAGTCAGTAGGGGAAGGGCAAACTCTGTTTAAGTGGCTGCACTGCTGCAGCGCTGCCTGCACGTCAGTCGATTCTTTTCCCTACCGGAATTCCTGTTTCCTTCCTTTATGCAATCATACTACAACAAATCATGCGTAGTTTTGCCCAGTTACCATACGTGATACGTACCAACAGAAGTGAATACGAGCTAGAAGCGCAACTGAATGTACGGGGTAGCCAAAAGGTTAAAAAAGGATTGTATTTTTTTCCGAAATCTAAGCGTTTTTTTATTTAATATTTTATTAGAAGCGAGTTTTCCCCATCTGTCAATTCAATCTAGATTATTTATTTTCAAATAAAAAAAAAAAAGGGAAAAACATAAAAAATAATAATGATTAAAAAAACAATAAACAATAATATAAGGAACTCTTTTTCTCATATGTATTTTGGTGACATTTATATTGTTAATACATTTTGGATACTGTGTTTAGTGCCTTTTATCAGGTCAGAGCAACTGCCCTTCAAAATTCCTGTGCACGTCCCTGTGCTGAAGCCATTTTGTTGTTGATTTACTTTTGTGCTTTGGTCGTCGTGCTGTTCCGTCACACATCTTCTGTTGAGCTTCTATTTGCAAATAAGGTTAATGGACTTTAATTCTAGTGCTAGCAAAACAAAAAAATAAACGAAATTCAGCTGCGACATTTCATTCTAAATTCAGTGCCCAATAAAGAAGGGGTGAACTGATAATCCACAAAATTAACGGTATACATTTTCAATTTAAGAAACAGTCCCTATGAAAGCTCCACAATGTGGCCTGTGGAAATGACATTATTGATAATATTGGGGTGGAGGTATAAATCTCTGAGACCAATATGTGAAAACCTGAACAAATAAACAGAACTTGCATTTAAGATGCAGATACTGATATAAAATCAATCATATTACAACACAATTAGTAAAATTTTGTGAGAAAGTTATGAGATGTTACTTAGGGGTAAATGTGTTCACCTTTTCAGCATTTGGATATTTTATGTGGATGCATCACATTTGTCCACTGTGTGGTTATTTTGGGGGCATGAATAGCTTCTATTGCAGTTTGTATTGATGGAATATCTATCAAGATTTGTGTAATTTAATTTCACACTACAATGTTCATTTGGCCCTGATTTCAAAGACAACAGGCTGGGTTTAAGTGCATTAATGTGTGTTTGTGAAGTTCATTCCCCATTGCTCAGATAATATTTCCCAAATAATCTAAATGGTAATTTTTGGGCAAAAGATGTACGGTATCTGTGAGGTTGCCATGCATAAGTGCTACAGCCTGTTCTCTGGGACACTATTGGACTATACACACAATACTCTTACTCTGATGAAAGCCTGTTCAAATAAGATTGGTCAGAGATTGAATTATAAATCAATGTTATTGTAATTATTGCAATATATTAGTTAAGATATGCATATTGGGATAACAAATTAATATTGTTGAAGGTCGTTAATATTTAACCTGATCCTCTATGCTTGACACACTCATTTATCGTAAAACACAAAATTCTTTGTTAGCAATGGCTATTTTTGGATTTCTGTGTTTGAGATCATAAAAAGGTACAAAAAAGAACTTTTATGTGAGAAAAGACAATGTTTTATTGTTATTATTAAAGTACACACAAGTAATAAGGATTATGATATACATTTTGTAATTGCATAAATGGACATCACTACAAAAAACACACAAACACTAGATAACAATGTACTAGTCTAGAGACGTTTACCACACAAAAACTGTATAATTCTATTTCTTATTTGTGTCAGTTTGAAACCATATATGAGGGGATTGATGATTGGAGGAAAAAAGAGAAATTCTATTGCCATAAAATTTTGGGCGCTTTGCGGTAATGTTTCTGAGCCCAACCGCATGTACAACAAATCAAAAAGAATACACACAGTTAAAGTCACTAAACAGAAAAAATGTGGAAGACATGTCTGCATAAACTTTGTTCTGTTCTCTTTGGATGTTAGGCATGTTGAGATCAGATATACATAAGACCAAATAATAAAAATAAAATGGCCAAAATAAAAAATATAATTAAAAGGTGGAATGACATTGTTTGTTATGGAGACAGTACAAGCTAGTTTCCCAATGAAATAATTAACACAGTAGATCTTCGGGATGTGTGAGCCGCATAACCTTGATGTAGATGTTGTTACTGTGCTCATGAACATCAAGTAAAGGGGTAGAAACCAAGCAAAAAACACAAACACACAAACTCTTTGTTTAGACATCATAGAGTGGTAAACCAGAGGTCGACATATAGCCACATATCTGTCATAGGCCATTAGAGCTAGAAGAGAGAAATCAGCACAAACTGAAGAGTGCAGCACAAAACCCTGCAGAAGGCATCCAGCATAAGAGATGACATGAGTGGTAGATAGAAGATCATTGAGGAATTTGGGGTAAAAGCCTGTTGTCCCATAAAGTCCATTGATGCACAGATTACAGAGGAAGATGTACATGGGTTCATGAAGACTTTTGTTCACAATGACTGTCACAATAATGGTCAAATTTAACAGCCAAATCACACTGTAACACAATAAAGTGAGAGCAAAGAGAGCAACTCTGTAGTTTGCTGTACCATTTAACCCTGACAGAGTAAACATAGTTATTACTGTTTCATTATCAATCATATTCATAATTAAACATCTTTGTATATCATTCTAAATCTGAAATAACTATTTTAATATTTTACTGAGAGGAAATTGCATTTGCATACCCTTTTTTGCTGAAGGAAGAAATCCAGTTATGTGTCTATTGATCCCTAAAAACAGTAAAAGAGCTCACATGAGAGGGACACATAATATTCATCCTTGAAAATCCATTAATACACAGATCACAGAGGAAGATACATAGGCTCATGACGTTTCTGGTCCATTAAGATGGTTAAGATGGGAACAAATCAAATTCAGGAAGTAACACAGTAAACTGAGAGCAAAGTGAATACATCGTCATTGCACTGTGTAATTTAATCCTGAAAGTATAAAAAAAGTTAAGGCAGAAACATTATCCTTTAAACTTTGTCAGTTGTCACAATATCTTTCATTTAAATCTAGTTTTATATCCAACGTTTCTCACCTCAGTATGTGTAAATCATAAAGTGTCACAATACAGAAACATCTTTTACATTTATTCCTGAGTTGTAGGTGGGCCAGCGGTCATCCTGTGCTGAGTGTCTCTGACTCTGCCAGCACTGGTTCCTCTGCTTAAATCATATATCTTTGATGACTCAACACAAGCTGGGAATTCAAGCAGTAAAGGTTGGAGAGAGGTAACTAAAGAGGTTTATGTGACTTGATTTTGTGTTGATCTCAAACCATTTCAACATAAAGTCAAACACAGTGGGGGTTCTATCAGTGTGAGATGTGAAAAATGTTTAAAGTGACTTTGGCCGCAGGAAAAGGTATTATTTTGAATAACTTTTTATGCATTTGAAAGATAAAATGTCGATATATATATAAACATGGAAGTACTGGCCATGCAGACCCTTTGCCTGACAATAAAGCTTTAGTCATTTTACATTTAACATTCAATGTGATCCAGGCATGGGTTAGATTTATGATTGCTACCAATGATTTTCACATTTCACTGAATGTAATCTTGGGTTGTGGAGAAACCTCAGTACCTTCCTCAAAATATTTCTAGCTATCAGCAGCAAGAACGGTAGGAGCATTGAGAGGGGCCTGTGTGCAATTTTACGCAGGAGCCACAGCAGCGGTTGTGTCATTATTATCATTAATTATTCTGACACAATGACAGTATCTGTCAGGATCTAATGATAAATACTTTTTCACATATCGGAGAGGTAAAATGTTGCACACAGATCACAGGCAAATTATTTGGAATAAAGCGTCTGTCCTCAGGATGAGTGCTGTAGTTCCATCAGAGGTGTCAAACCAATTTGATTTACTGTGGCTCTAAAGTCTGTTCAATGATTCAATGCATATATTTTTCTGTCCTATCAAGTTTATTAAAAAGAGTTTTCCTGCTTCAATGCATATTGTTGGTTTCATATCGTAACAACAGATTCTAAGAGTATAGGCGACACCCTTTATGAGGTGTCACAGATTTTTTTTCGTGCCCTTGTGCTCCCAATCGAAGCCACTTTTTTCTTCAGCTGACGTAGAAAGAGCCAGTAGTGCCTGCAGCCTAGAGGCTACGCCTATAGAATCTGAGGTTACGATATGTTACCAATGTTCTATTTCCAGTCCCTCCAGGATTTCGTGGGCCTTTTTTGTGAATTGTAAGTCGCGATGAAATTACATGGATTTGGTGAATTTGTCTTAATAGTTGCGATTGCGACATCACAAAATCGTGGAGGGTCTGACTAACATTTTTCATTATCAACAATACATTTTAGCTATGCAAAACCTCTCTGGTGAGAGATGAACAATGTATAATGTTGGCTAAATGCATCAAATGTAACGTTATCGTGCAACGAGCGTGGATTAGTTCGTCAAACTGATTAAAATACTACTACTACTGTAATGTTGCACTGCGAGTTTACCTGAGTTTCCAGCATTTTGAATGATGCTGTTTCTTTTTAAGTCTCATTTTGGCTGATCCCGAGTGCTCGCTTATGAGTTCAAGCATGCAGAGGAGCACACCTAAAGTACACGCTTGGAAATGTAGTGGTTGCAATCTGAAACGTCACCACTAGAGGTCACTGAAAACTACACGTGGTCTCTTTAAATTAATAACTGTAACAAAATTACCATTAATGGCCAGTTGTTAAAGGATTTGGAGATCTCTTATGCAACATTAAAAGAACCAAGCGTGTACACAAGCATTTATATAAAAGAATACACAAAATCAAAAACACATGAATCAGACTAAAATGCACCCAAGTAGACAAACAGATGTATGTGTGTGTCTCTTTGGACCATTCTCATCTCAAGGCGTCCAATACCAACGCTTTCAGAAAAAGTGACTTAGTTGTTTGGCACTAAAAGTATCCTTCAGCATCTGTATGAGATGCTCTGGGTGACTCAGGTGCATGCTGATCAGTAAAACTGTGAAATAATAAGCAAAGAGTACGTCTGTTTGCTGTGCCGTTTAACCCTTTGATTGTTGCAAATTCGCATCACACCACTTCCATTCAGACTGCAGCCGAGCTAGCGTATGTATTCCCAAAAGGCCAGTTTGTGCGTATTTGATACGTACCTAGAAACCTTTTGCAAGCACTGTATGAGTGTAGTTGCAAATTTTAATTATACCTAAATTTATATCTATTTTATGTGCTATTAATATCCACTTAATTTAGCATCAGCATGAAAGCAAAAAAATATTTTTTTCTATATTTTTAAATATAAATGTAAATACATTTAGACGCCAAGGGGTTAACTCTGACAGGGTAAACACTATTCATCATGACATTTTACAAATTATGGTTCAGATGTCATTCTAATACTGCACAGATAACTTGTGTTTGCACAAACTAAGTTGTGGGAGGAAAGAAGGGAAAATCTGTTCTGTCTACTCATCCCTTACAGGTGTTACCATTTATTTATATTCTTTCGTGGCAGTAACACTCAATGATGTTATTATCATCGCACTTCAGGTATGTGGCAGTCTCTTTCACTGAAGAGCAGTCTACTTATAATTCATATGTACTGTATATGTCTCTTTTATGATAAAGTAAATGCTGAGATCTATGACATCACTACAGTCTGATGTAGAAAGAGACGAGTGGTGCAACAATCAGACAGGTTGTAAACAAGACAACAAGTCGTTGCTTTTTGCTGTTAGGCTAGTCTGCAAGGTAATGTACGGAGTACTCAAGCAGCACTACCTGATGCTGTGAATTATCACTGAGTCTGGTTATTTGCCCACACCATAAGACAATTGGTTCCAGCCCGACTCCCTCTTTTATATAATGCAGGACAAAGACAGCAATGAGATGGTACAAGCTAGCGTTAAGCATGTTGAAATAACCATGCCATATAAACAAAAAGCAACATCTAGTGGGATTCATTGGTAACACCAGGCTAGCTAGCTTCACCTTACTGCGTGAAATACAAACATGATGATGATAACTTTATTTTTCTAGAACTTTTCAAAATCAGGTTACAAAGTGCTGTACAGTAGAAACAAACAAGATCCATACACATAAAGTAAACAATATAATTAAAATTCAAATAACACAACAATAACAGCTGTAAATAAAACTGTTATAAAAAAAAGCCAGACAATAAGTGAGACTTTAAAAGAGGCCACTGAGTTCGCCTGCCTGAGATTTCTAGGCAGAGAGTTCCACAGCTGAGGGCCAGAACAGCAAAGGCCCAGTCATCTTAAGTGACATGACGAGACTTTGGACCCATTAGTAGAGCCCTGATGGAGGAACTCAGGCATCGGTCCGGCTCGTAAGGGGCTATCAAACCATGGATATGGGCGGGAGTCTGACCGTTAAAGGACACCTATTATTCTGCATGTCCAGTCCTATATTGTAGCTCTGTGACTCCTGTATGGCAGCTTTGCATGATCTTAAGTAAGGTTTTCATTTCAGCCTCTGTCTGAATATGCTCCTGTCCACCCCCCACCCCCCACCAAATGTCAGTCACAACTATAACTTTCAAAATTTATAGTAATGAATGATTTAATACAGTAATTTTAGTAAAATGAGGTAGAAAAAAAAGAGGCTTCTCATTTTTACTCTGTCAACTGTTGCATGCAGGTTCTATACGCTGTGGACAGTTAATGAACAGTCCATGAGTTGATTAAGAACTTTTTGTCAACTCTTTCTTTAATGAATAAAATCCTGCTCTGAATTTTCTGAAATAATGAGATACTTCAAAATAGTGTAAGAAGCTCTCATCTGCATAAGGTAGGCATCTATTGCTGATGCTAATCAATGTCAATGTCTCAAACCCAAACTGGATTAAACTAAATAGGTGGGATATGTCTGTTTCCATGAAATCGAGCTAAACGACCGCTTCTCTTGAAAGTTGAAGGTATATTGTTAATTCAGAAAATCTGAGCAAAACCTTTTTTTTCATATTTTTCCCAAATAAAAGCATCTCAGAAATAATTAAATAACTATTAAATAAATAATTATTCATGAGTTCAGAAAAACAAACCATAATTTCTTTTCTCAAATCCATATTGCTTCTATATATTTCAGTGCAGACTGTGCCAAAGATTCTACAGTTAAAATGCTCTACTCACTTTGATTGAACGTTTTATCTGGCAAACTGCAAACAGAGCAGTTTAGTTCTAGGATAATGTTCATTTTGTGAGACCTTCGTCAGACGGCTGCAGACACCAGTTCCTTGCTTTAAAAGAAAACCTTTCACAGACAACATGATATGAATATATTTAGTCTAATACATTTGTGACTTTTAAAGTCATTATTTCAGAGAAAGTTTAGGAGAGTGTTTTTAAATTCAACAATGTCCTGAAAATGTGCCTTCTTATTTCTGGTAATTTCAGACCATACAAAAGAGGGTTTAGAAGTGGAGGTATCATTACAAACTCCAGTGATAAAATTACAGCAAAAAATGGGTTTAGATTTTCAACATTAAAACGACTTAAGGCAATATCACAGAATCCACTGATGGAATAAGTGACAAATGAAATAGTATGAGGTAAGCAGGTTTGGAACACTTTGCTCTTGAATTCAGATGAGCTTTTTCTGCACACAAGAATTATTCTTAAGTAAGTATACAAGACATAGATCAGGGGCAGGATTACTGTAATTGTGGTTACAAGCAAGCCAACAATATTGTTGATAAAAGTGGAAACACACGACAATTTAGCAATATTCCAGACTGCACAGTATACTTTTAGGATCGAGTTGCCACACAGAGGAAGCCTAATGACTAAACCAAGACACAGTGTATCACAAAAGGCTGGACAGATCCAAGCAAAGCCTGCCAACATACGGACTTTCTTAGGGGTCACCTTGCTGTGATAGTGTAAAGGATCACATACAGCAACATATCTATCATACGCCATAATACCCAGGATGGTCATTTCATAGGAAGCATATGTGTAAATAATATAGATCTGAGTGAAACAAGCAGGACCTGAAATTAAATGAGAATCAGACAGAAGGTCTATGAGGAATCTGGGGAAGAAGCCAGTGGAACCATACAGAGCATTGACAGACAAAAATGTAATAAAAATATACATGGGCTCATGAAGTGTTTTCTCACGTGATATTACTAGTATTATAACAAGATTAGCACAGACAATAAAAGCAAACAGCAGAAAGCACAGAACAAATGCTGGATAGCGGTAAGACCCTATGTTCACATACATGGTGAGGTTAAAGTGAAACATTATAGTGGCATTTTCCATTTCACAAAGTCAGGCTGAAACAGAGATTTGCCGTGAAAAATCCTTAAAACCTTCTTTTAACTGAAAAATCTGAAAATAATCTTTGATATTGACATCTGTGAAGTGAAAGACAAATCACTGAATGTGTAATTACTAACATGTTATTTTTAAGTAGTTATCACTTTCTATTTACTTTCAAGATATTTTATACTTGCCACCTTCATGAAAGTTTTCAGTACATGTGCTGACCTGGTCCCTGATTGTGTGTATGTAAGAGG